TACACCTAATTTTGAATATTTGTTAAAACTACTGGGAGTCTGTTCTATTAATCAACCTATCCTTACTTGTAGAAACCCTTTTTCTTTAATGTACGATGCAGTTCTATTCCTTGTCATATCTGTTCTTTGTATACAAAGGTAGATACTGCTTTCCTTTTTACAGAAGTCTTTTATGAACTTGAAGATGAGTACTTCCTTCTTCCCACTCCAGCTTTGCCTCTTACATTTGTAATTTGAATTGGTCTTTTGCACAGACCTCTGGATGCCAAGATGTCTGTAAAATTAGTTATTGTGTATATTCATTGAAACAGTCAATTGATAACTTCTAACTCATTTTCCCTGAAGATGACTAACTCATTTGAATACTCGGGGCAGATCTGCAATTTGAAGTGCAATATATTTGACTTCTTGCTTGCCTTTACTCAGGAACCAGTGCTGTAGCCATTATAGTAAAGAGACTGACTGACACAGGCCCTCCCCATTCCATACCTGTGGCTGTGCACTACTTGTTTAGCTGCATATAGCCTCCAGCTTGAAAATTGAGACAGCTGAAACATAAATATTTTATTACTCCATTAGTATGCAACACAGACCATTGTTAAAACTGCTACTGACTTCAAGTATGCGTATATCAATAAATAACTTTCTAGTTTGCTGGTACCATTAGACTAAAGTGCCAATACAGTTGGTCACCATATATTTTTGTCTCACCTTAATTTTCAGTTAAAGTTTAGTTAAAGGCTTATCGTTTAACTCATCTCCTAGCAAAACAAACTTAGATCCAAAGCTGAAACTAGTAGAATTCTAACAAACACTACCACCATCTAGTTTTTAATTGATTTCCATGTTCTCCTTTTCATTCTTTATCTTAAAGAACAATTGTTAGTATATCAAACTAATAGTCACATTTGAGTAGATCAGCCTAGCAGATTTTGTCTTTTGAGTGAAGTAGGACTGTGGAAAACCATTCAGGAAAGATAATGATACCTTTTAAAATAAAACTATGCTTAAGAATTTTCTTCTAGATACTAATTGTATGTAAACCTCTCTTTATTTTTTTTAGTGTGTGATTTCCTTGGGGAAAAGATTGCATCTGTTCTAGGGATAAGCACACCAAAATACCAATATGCCATTGATGAGTATTACAGAATGAAGAGAGAGGTATGTGTGTGAGATAGATTTCTCCCAACTTGCCTTCCCTGGTATTTTTAAAAATGAAATTTATATTCCAGCATTAGAATGAAGTTTTAGAACCTCTATTTCATCTTGCCTTCAGTTTTCATTTGACGTGTGATTAATGCTTACTTAGCCATCAGCCTTTTCTCACCAGATTGTTAGTCTTGGAACTGGCTGGGTCCTGACCACTGCTCTGTTTCTCTTGTACAATGCATTTTAAAGTCAACAGTGTGAGAAAGCTGAATGGAGCACTTACTGGACACTGTAAAGAGGTGACTGCTAGGAATACACTTTCCAACTCTAAAATTCGTTCAAGTGAAGTGTCAAGGGTAAATTGAACGTGATGCTACCATTTGTTCTAAACTGTAATTGGAAATGACTGATAGGTAGCCAGTACTTTATGCAAAAAAAAACCATAATAATCTTCATTTGAAAGAGATGGGAAATGTATTTAAAGATTTACTACTAATTTATTTTTATAGCTCTTTATTATTAAGAGCTGAAAAAGTGTTAGAGAAGGTAGACCTATCACTATTGCTATTGACTAAAAGCTGCTTATCTAGACATATGACACGTTTTTCTGTGTTTATTTAACACAGTTTAATCCTTCACTTTTGGTGATTTTTTTTTTTCCATAATGGGAATTCTGGAATATATCTCATCTTATGATCAACTAGTGACCATTTTCTAATGGAACAAATGTCTTTGCCTTGTAATAGGAGCTTTCTTTTGGAAAACATAAAAGTGAATGTCAGTAAGTGGTAAATAGTCAATAGAGGCTTATGAATCTGGTTATCTATTTTTAGGAGGAAGAGGAGGAACAGGAAAACAAGATGTCAGAAGAAGCAGAAAGACAGCATCAGGAACAGCAGAACAAGCCACAAGCTGAAGCTCCTGTCCAGACAGACCAGCCTGAAGCAACAGCATGCACTTCATTCGTGAATGTAAACTTTGAAAACGAGGGAGATGATTGCCAGTCTGTTGGGGAAAATAAACAAGATGTAGTTCCTGTCCCTTCTTAAGTGTAAAGCTCTGTATAATGTAGGAAATAGGAAGTGTCAGGTGTCACAAACTGGCTATAAGAAGCAGGAAAAATAGGATTATACTTGTTCAGTGAAATACAACTTAGAGTATTCTTATTGATCAGGAGAGAGCTAGGCAATATCTGTTCAGTCTGTCTGCCTAATAAAGGCTGAGGCATTCTGCCAAATTGGCACTTCAGTTAAAATGAAAATTGCACTACAAACATTCGATTTAAAAATGAATGTGTGAGCTAATTTCTGTGTAAAGCAAGTAAAAATGTCTTTTTTTTGAATTGCTGTGTCTCTAACACCTGTGGATTGCAGATGCAGTGCTGTTTCCTACTTCTAAACACCTACTTCTGATTTGCACATTGTTTGCAACTCAGCTCTCTATGAATAGATTAATAGGAATCAATATCCTGTAACTCAAAAGTCATTATGATAGCATCTGATTTCCCCTATTTATTGTCACTGTTGTATGCATGTATTTTTTTCTGTTGTTGTTTAACACAAGAGATAATGTTAGATTTAATGTTAATTAGATTTAAGGGTCCACTGACTTTTTTATTAAAAAAACCCCCAGACTTTAAAGGAGGCTGTAAACACCCTTAAGAACTTATTAACAACTACCAGCACTCTTGGAGGCTAATAGTGCTCAGCTGCTCCATTCAGTGCTGTAGCAAAGTACCGAACTAGCATCAGTGTAAGATGTTCTCACTACAAGTCCAAGAATTAAGAGACCCACCTGCGTGAATACATGCTCTGAATGGTCCTGGGAAATAAACTAAAGTCTTGCTAAATTATACTGAATGCACTGGCTGCTGTGTATGGTACTGATCTAGAACTATGGAAAATTTTTTGGACATAGATTATTTGAGTCAGCATACTTGATTAACCTAAACAGGCTATCTGTTTGATGTTAAATTACCAGTAAGGAATGTGCCATTGCAGATGGTTTTCCCCCCTCTAGCCCAGAATACCTAAGTAACTAGAAATCAACCAAATCAAACTTATGATTCTTCCTTTTTCTTAAACAAAACACTTTATTGCAATATTACAACAACAGTACTTGTTATTTGTGTCCAAGTGAAATGCAGATCGCTCCAGAGCTTTTAAGTAGCCACAAATACCAATTAAGGCTATTTTACTGCAATGGCTGTCATTTTTGGAGCTTATAAAAGGTAAATGGTTTATTTGGTAACAATCAGATGTCAGTGCCCCAGTCACTTTCTATAGAGAATTGTTGTAGATGAAGGAGCAGAGAACCTGCACTAATTACCATGTGAAACATTACTTCTGTCCTTGAGATTTCTAAAAAAGAAAGAAAAAAAAAGAGAATTAAAAAGTCTTCAGTGAAATTTTGTGTTGGGTATCATCATGTGTCCCTGGCCTCGGTCCCACTACCAACTAAGGAGCCAGATGCAACATCAGAGGCCAGGTAACGTGGCTATTAGTTTCCAGAGTTCAGTTTGTATTTCAGACAGCCCTCTGCCTGAACTGGTGTCCTGTAGAGCACAAATTCCAGCACTACAGAAAGTCTTCTGAGGAGGATTCAATCATCACCTCTATTCCATCTCTTGATACTCTCTTCTTTGCCTCTTTTTGAAGTTTAAGACAGAGGGTGCTGACAGCTGTGTAAAATCACCCTGAACATCTGTGAAGGAGAACTTGGTTCAAATACACAGAAAAAACAGCTTGTTGGGAGTTCTTGTACTGTCAAAGATAGAAAGCCTCACATAGCTCAAGAGTAAAACCTTTACAGCTGAAAGATGCTTTGCTTTTCTGCCAAGAAATTAATGTCAGTTGCGCTGGTTTTTCCCCCTTCTTCCTACACTCTGTTGCATCAGAAATGCTCTCACTGCCTTGAGTTTAAACTTCTTTGTATAAAATACTGTATTACTCACTGTGCCTTAACTTAATCCTTCCTTCAGTTTTTTGCAAACTGTATGAAAGTGGTTACTTTCATAATGGTTTAATTTTTCTGTAAATGCATTAATTTGTTATATTTAATATAATTTTTGAACTGGAAGCTGGCTATGGCTTTTCCTTTGAAACTCTGGTCTTTGAAACTTTACACCTGCACACAGGAGCAGGTGCGTGGTCACTGTTTTCATCTTTTGTGTCACACATCCTGGTGGAATATTCAAGCACTGAAATTTGAAGTATCATACTACCCCAACCCCCTTCCTTACAGTCTCATGTAGTGCTTCTTAACATACTCAATGCATTCAGCACTACCTCAAACTAATAAATAATGCAGGATTGCAACACCTCTGGCCTGGAGCTCATGAAGTTTTGTCTGAAAGTTGAAACATTTCTACAGCTTTGTTAAAGGGTTTCACTGCTTTTAACTACTGTTGTAGCTCAGCTGTACACTTAAATAAAATAGTAGCACAGGAGATTAAATTGATGAAAGCCTTTATACAGGTGTTTGGATTAGTTTTAAGTAGATATAAATCTAGTAGTTTTATTTCTGTTAAGGAACCTCTTAAGAATGAGGTAACTATTCAGTCAGTTCAATAGTTAGTTACCTCTCCTTTCTGTTAGGCACTTAAAGCAGACACACATAGAAGAAAAAGGCTTAAACTCTTTACCTCTTACTGAAGATTTTTGCCTTTACAACAAAATGCTCAACAGTGCTATCATTAGAGGAAGCCATACAGAATGCAGTAGGAGGCTTGGAATGGCCAAGTGGATACAGGCCTGTGCTGAAGAGATCAAGAACCACATCCTTACTGTCAGGGTAAATTCACATTTACAATAGGGTATTCAAATAACAACACAGGACTTGGTACACAGGGGAAAAGTCCGAAAATATTTATTTTTTTAAAAAGCTATTTTTTACCTCTTAAACACTTGCTTCTTTCATTTCAGAAATTAGTTCTGTGATTCCTGTATGTACCACATTTTATATTGGGGGGGGGGGGCACAGGGAGAAGGGGAGGGAATTAAAATGGAAGAGGCATTGACTCAGATAATTCATGTTTCCAGCTCCCAAGGGTTGGTGCATCAGACTGAGATATCTCTATGGATACACTCTGCTCCTGGTCAGTCACGTATCATCAACATCAGCAGTGTTGTCATTATCACTTGCCACAAGGACCTCTCTGTTCTCGTACGTCCAGAACCCATTCAGATCAATTAGAATGCTGGTAACAGTGTCTCCTTGACTGCTATTGATTAAGTCTTGAAGGGAGATTTTGTAAGGATCCTTAGGCTTCACCATATCAAAGATTTCATCCTATGAAAGAAAAATCAAAATCAGGGAAAAAAAACCCCTACACATTAATAAGCAGAATAATGGCTACTTTATACCATACACAGAATGATCTTTGGGTAACTAGTGCCACCTGCACTGATTTACAAAAAAAGAAAAAGCTGTTAAGTCCCAAACCATTTAGGATACAAAGCACAATAACTGGCTACAGATAGGAGCAGTGTGCTCCCACATCTCAAATAAGAATTTGTTTTTCTTGAAAGGCTTTGGCCTCAAAGTGGAAACATGAAACTCAGTTTGCTTGTATGAGCTAAGTTTTATAGAAGCGCTTGTATTTTATAAGTACTAGAACTATTAAATGTATAGTAGGCAATAATAAAGAGCTTTATAGACAGGTTTTTTTTTAGTCACTACTCTGACCCCTTCCCCCCTCTAAGGGATGATCCTGAATCATAAAATAGACACACCAACTATCTTCAAGCATAAGGCACAGCAACATGTATTTTAACAGGTACTCTGTCTATTAGTAAAGAAACTATCAGAACAGTTGCATCCCAGATTTCTTACCGAGCACTTGCTGAATAGAAAAACGTTTTCAAACCTACAAGTAGTACAAGTCAGATCATCTCTACTACTCTGCAAGTAAATATACAACAACCTAGAAACTACATTATAACATAAGTAAATTACAATATGCTTTTTCAAGTATTTCATGTAGTACTCTATTCAGTAAAACTAACCTTGACATCCTGAAAAGAAACTGGTTCTTGTCCATGGATTTTCATTTGTTCCTGAATAGCCTAGAAAAAAAGAGAAAAGTTAAGAATAGGTAGTGCAATATTATACTGACATTGAAACATTAATGCTTCTGCATCTTAAGCTGTATTGCTCTGTAACAAAGCATTCACAGTACAGCCTGCCTTCAATTCTCTTCCACAGGTGAGGCAGGGGTGAGTTAAGGCATAACCAATGATACACATCTCCAGGTTCACAGTTCTTAGCCAGTACAGTAAGAATCCAACTTTCATTACGACCAGTGTTTGAGTGCTCTGAAAATGGGCTATGCAGACACTTGACAATTATCACTCAACACTCAAAGCTTAAGACGGCCATACACTCAAACCAGAAGGTTCAGTTCTCTGACTAAGTATGAAACGCAGGCTAGGGAAAGAGAGAAGGGGAAAGACCAACCACCAGATAGACAAAGCATTGTGGCTACTCACACTTTCAATTACTTTGAAGATGGCACCTGTATTCTGGTTGATCAAGATAATATATTTGTCTATTTGAGCAACTATCCATGTATGGAACCCACTTCATGCTCTAAGTGGCCATTTCTCATTTTGAATGAAATAGCATTCCCTACTATTAGTTCTTTTAATATGGAACTATTTAAACAGCTGTATCACAAAACCTCTACCTGTGAATAACAACTCTGAACAAACCTGCTTGTTTCACTAGCACAAGCTGCACAGCCTTGCCAGCACAGATCTATCAGCACAGCCTTTGTAGGTGCAGACATACCCACACTTACGCTAGCAGAAAAACAATTCTTCACAGCCAAAAGGATGTGATGTCAAGGAAAACTTAGAACATTCAATTTCCAAAATTTTAAAGGAGGGACACATTTTGGAATATGATCAAGCATCTGCTGTAGTCGAGGAATCTTTTAGATAACTAAGCTTTTGGTAATTAAGTTTTCAAAAATTGATGCAGAGTATGTATGTAACTAGAGACATGCCAAAAATAGCTATGTCACAGTAGCCTGCGCAGAATTACCTCGTTAAATTGCTTTCATATTAGAATCACTTATGTATTATGACAACATAAAATTCATGGTTTTATAAAACACCCTTCATTAAAATCAGGAGTCAGAGACAGCTGATACAGCCCCTGGCCTCCCTGAATCCTACTACCATGTGAACAGAAGCAGCAAGTGGTGGGAATGGTGAGCTGTAAAAGCAGGGAGAGAAGATGTGTCACTGCTTAGTTTCTCTAGGGTCCTTACTATTGCCACGTCCTGGCCTGACAGTTGCCCATGAAGCATACGACACAGCTACAACTACTAAACAAAGTTCATGATGAAGTTCAAAAGGCACATGCAAGAATCCTGCCTGCACCTGCAGCAGAATAACACCATGCAGCAGTTTGCTCTAGGGTCCAGCTGGCTAGAAACAGCTTGGTAGGAAAGATGCTTGAGCTCTTGGTGAGCAAGAAGTTGAACAAGAGCGTGCAGGGTGCCCTTGTAGCAATGAAGGCAGATAAATACTGGGTTGCATTAGAACAAGCACAGCTAGCAGGTTCAGGGAGGTGGTTGTTCCTCCTGACTCAACATTTGGACATGGTACTCCAGATGCAGCCTCACATGTTTGAGGTCCCCTTTACCAGGGCACTGACAAACCAGTGGGAACCCACTAGAGGACTATCAGGATGCCTGGGGGCCTAAAGCACAGCACAGCTGAGAGGAGAAGCCTGAGATGGGGATTAATTCCCCTGGAGAACAGAAGGCTGGGGTGGTGGGGAAAATCTAATTACTATCTTCAACTACCTAGTAGGTAGTTACCAGAGAAAACAGTGAGACTCTCTTGGAGACAACACAGTGAAAGGGCAAGAGGCATTCCCATTAGACAAGATGGGAGAAAGGGTGAGGGGAGAAAAGTCTTCTCAGTCGAGTCAGGACAGTCACACACCAGAACACATTGTTCAAAGAGGCTATATAGTCTCCCTCCTTGAAGATACCTAAAACTCGCCTGGACAAGTCCCTGAACAACTTGACCTAACCATGAAACTGGCCCTCCTGAGCAGACAGTAGGAGCTGGTGACCTCCAAAGGACCATTCCACCCTAAATTATTTGATGGTTCCAAAGCACTAGAATGAAACAAATAGTTGTGGGGGTTTTGTTTTTCTTTGTGGCTTTGGGGGCTTTTTGATTTTGTTGTGGTTTGTTTTGTTGTTGTTTTGTTTGGTTGGTTTTAAAAAAAAGACTTTCCTTTTTAGAAAAGGTCTTCCAGGAAAGAAGTCTTATGTTTACAAGCTGATATGCTTGTCACCACTGTCAAAGTTCATGTTCAGCTGGAGACTTACTACAGTATAGAAATAAAATGGATATAAGATTATGCCTTGAGCAGGCCTAAATGCTTTACTTAATAAGCTGAATGAAGTACATACCTTTTTCATCATACTTTGAGCATACAGCTAAATAAAAGAACATTGTTTATTTTTACACTTATAATACAAAGATACACATAAGGAAAATTGAAATGCTTTTCCCTGTGTCTAAATAGATATCACTGAAGGGATCTTGTACATGAAGAAAGCACCACAATCATAACTCGGCCTAAACCATCCACAGCAAAAATACTATTTTACTGCACAACATTTCTCTTCTCAAGATACCTCAGGTATCTATTAAAGGAACAAGAAAAAAACAACAAAACATCTGCCCACTGTCCCCCAACCCAAAACCACCACAAGCCAGAATAAAACCAAAGAAAACCACTCACACAAACAATTTGGAGGACATTCGGTTAATTTTAACAGCAACTAAAAAAAATTAACCTTATTTTAAATCTATTCTGGGAATAACAGATAAAAATACAGAATACGAAAAATTCAAGAAGCTTTTTGCAGTCAATACAATGAATGAAGAAATCCCACAGCTGGACAGGCCCATCACTGCACATCATTATTTTCATTTCTTCTCCTGAAGTTTAGAATTACAGAGGAAATTCAAACCATGGGCAATATCTAGGTAGAACCATCACAAGAGATTTTAATAGGTAATCATTAGGTAATTTAAAAACAATTTCCATTTAAAAAAAAAAATTGGTAGAAAATATTTTTCCTAAACGAAATCAGAACGGTTAATTTCAGCTGCAGATAAAATGCTGAAAATACCTTTTGAATTCTTTCCAAGGTTTGGAATTATTTTTTTTAAATATTTTAAATCTTCTTAGAAGTAGTTACTAGCCTCCCAGTGGGTACTGGTAATTTAAAGTGATTCCCTGCAGATCTGCATGCAGAAGCTCACAGGCTGTAACACTATAAACACAGAAAATGGCCTACCTGTATAAAGAGACTTACCCTAAAGAAATAATTAAGGGAAAAAACATTCAGGTATCCTTTGTTCTCTATATCAAGCAGTTTGAAAATATATTGCAGAGCTGCAGGCTCCTTTCTGTTTTCTAATGCAAGCACAAAGTCCAAGTAGGTTTTATAGTCCTAAAAGTAGATAAAATCATTTTTATTACAGTCTTCTTTCTAAATTGATTTTGCAAGCAGGAACTTTATAATTGACAGCTATTTCATTGTAGGGGATCAGTCTACTTTCTGAAAAAGACAACATGAAATAGAAAATGGCTGCTACCAACAACAGAAACAGAAAAGTTCGTTTTTAATGACTGATGATGATAGGAAATCCTGCCATTTTAGAGGTAAAATAGTATTCCAAGCATAAATCCAAATATATACTTTAAAACAATGTTTAATACATCTTTAGACTGCTGAACATACTTAACTAGTGAAGAAAAGCCATATAAAATATCTTCATTATGACAAACAAAACATTCAGGGGCAGTAAGCCTACTGTTACCAAACAGTGAACTATATGGACAATTAAAGTATATAATCCTTAGACCAGAGTAGGTAGTCTGGCAAACCATGTGTTGGAAGTATTAGTAGACACCACAAATATGTATCATACTTTTCTTTTTTACTAGTAGTGATTCTTGATTTCCTGACCAAGCTACAGTTGTGACAAGGACAGCAATCCTTCGGTCCTATGCATATAACTCTGTCTACCTTAAACACCAGTTTTGCTGTCATTCAGAAGGAGCTTTGACAGGAGCTTCATCGAGTTCAACAGGAGGAATGCAAAATTCTGCATCTGGGGAGAAAGAACCCCATACACCACTACATGCAGGGGGCTGACTAGGAAGCAGCTTTGCACAGACGGACCTGATGGGCAACAAAGTTGAACACACGCCAGCAATGTGCTCTTGCAGCAAAGGCAGCTGACAGCATCCTGAGCTCCATTAGGAAGAGCTTTGAGGGCAAGTCGGGGAAGGTGATCCTATTCCTCTACTCAGCACTGCTTAGACCATATCTGAGCACTGGGTCCTGTGCTGGTCTCCCTTGTACAAGACAGAGACAGATCTACTATAGCAAAACCAGCAAAGGACAACTAAGAGAATCCCCCCTGACCTCAGTGATACTGTAATTCTACAAAAAACTGTGAAGGCAGCAGCAGAACTGTATAGTGAATTTGTAATTTATCATTTTTAGAGTTGAGTCACCTGAATGCAGACAACAAGAGTACCAAAACATTCAGTAAAGCTTTCAAAATAAATATAGATACAAGATTTTACTTGCATTTAGTTAGACTTCCCATTTTTCACAACTATGGAAAGCTCAGGATAAAAAACACTGTTGTCTTCATGAAGAAGCGGACAGGCTAGCTAGCTTGCAGTAGTGTCAAGTGTGCACTTGTATTTGGTTCTCTTTAAAGAATTACATGTAACTAAAAAGCACTGGTACATCTATACATTTTTTTCAACATGTGCTTTGTGTTTTGAATCTACAAGCTTCATCCTAGGCTGTCTGGATTTTTTATCACTTCTGCTTTTCAAAACAAGCAACTTGCCTTTAAGCCATGCTGTGATCACCTTGCTGTTAGAAAATTAATTTTCTAATATGCTGCACAGTCATTTTGTGTGCACAATGAGAAACAAAAGTTACTTTACCTCAAGCTACTCTTTATTTTAAAGATACTGATTATGAGACATCTCAATAAGCTGAAGTTTTTATACTGTGAACAAAGTGAAAATATGTGATTACCATTTCACCATCATAGGTTAAGCATTCCTGAAAGACACGATCCAAAAATATGTTGGTCAGAGTCCCTGTTCCATACCGGGACAGTTCTTCTTTGCTGAGCATGCCATTGTGATCTTTATCAAGGTTTAAGTACTGGCCTAGAGAGAAGATATAGAAGGCAAAACATAACATTGTAACCATGAAAAAAGAGCTAAAGGTGATGCAAGAGCATGAATCTAGCAGTCAGAAGAGAAAGTTACAGAGGAACCCTGTACCCTGTGCAACAAGCACAAAATGACAGAGGATAAAACCATGGTCAAAGAGCAACATGAAGAACCAAATTGTAAAGAAAGTCAGGAAGGTATGCTGAAAGGATGGCTACAGGAGATGAAAAGACAAGTTACCAGGAGGATTTAAAGAGACAAAACCAGAGGAAAAATAACACTAAGACTGTGACTAAGTCAGACAAGGCAGAGAGGAGAAGAGAAAAAAAAGAAAAAAAAAGCTTTCACATATAAAGGAACCTACCATAAACTCTTAATGCAGAAGGAGCAGAAAACCAATTTGTTTCCTGACTTTCTTTAGAAAGTTCTTCATCCCTTAACTAAGTGAAACATAAAAGTTAGAATTCAGAAAGAGTAAATTAAAATACAATAGCATATGCTAAGAGATCTTTACCTCTAGTAAGTCATCCAGGAAGCTGCAAGCTAAAATATCCTGTATCTTTATCTTTCCTGCAGCAAGAAAAGGAAAACACATATTAAGTCACCCAGCCAACATATTCATTTGACTGTTCTCATTTAGGTGGTTCTACTTAAGAAAATATTATAAGCAGAAAAAAAGCACCTTTTTTAAAATACCAAACACAAACAAAACCAACTCCTAACATCAAGGATAAGGCTGTAATTTAAGAGATAAAATAAAAATAGCTTTTAAAAATTACTGAATAAAATCAGCCTGATATTGGCCTGAAGAGCTAGAAAACTAGATTTAAAAAAAATGAGTGTTCAACATCAACTCAAAATGTGAAATGAAAAATGCAAAGGAAGGATGCTTAAAACATTTGTTGGAATAATAGTATCTTAAGCAATGTGATATTTTTACATTTTCAGAAACTACAGATGTGACACAAAGCTAAGGCGGCAGAATGCTGTTCTGCTGGTGCAGCTTTGACCGGGCACAGACATTGCACAGCTGTGCAAAATAATGGCATTATAAATTCACACACACACACTCTCTACATGTTTGAAATTACCTCTGACAGAGGCTACTGCCCACACAACTCTGATGTCTTCAAGTGGCACAGCTAGATCTTGAAAACACATGCAGTTTGTGACTTAAATGAAGGGCATACAAATAAGCAAACTGTTGTCTGAGGGAGCTACATCTGTAACAAGGATTAGCAGCTGTAACTGCAAACCTTTTCTAAGGAGTTTACATGGTGCACACAAATTTAATCACAGGAGAAGCACGTCATAATAAGCATTCTTGTGCATTTCCATGGCTCTGTGGATGTTCTGCCAAGCAGTTCTGTTGTTAGTTGCTGCATATTCTATTCACCCTAAACGCTTATTAGATTAGCTACTGCTAATGATGCAACTATGATGAAACAGTATCTTGCCAGTTTCTATGAGATAACTCTATAGTACCACAACAGATGAGTATCTCATAGAAATTCATTAGCTGTAGAAGTAGATTATTAGACCCATGTAAAGGTCTTCAGTGGAGATTAATCTTCAAATACAAGAGACTGATGAACCAAAGCCTTTAAAGACAACTACATATTTGAAAAACCAAGTACCTTTAGTGGAAACATTCTAAAAGTGAAAAGGCTCCCACGTACTTAGAATTTTGAAAACATGGACCTACCTGTTCTGAGAGGATCCAGAAAGAAGAAGAACTTTCTAACTGCTGTGCAGACATAGAAGGAGTAAAAAGATTTTTCTAAACCATCCAGTTGTGGCAAAGTAGGGATAAGTTCCAAAATATAGTTTTCTAAATCCTGCAGAATTAAGAAAGAAAGGAAAACAAGCTTTAAACACTACTACTGTTGCATGTTTGCTATATTCCACCTCAGCTTCAAGTGTATTTTGTTAAAAATACAATCCTGCAACAAAGCAGGAAAGAGCATGAAAATAGGCAAAAAAGTTTGTGTCTCCCCGCAAGAAATCTTAGGTCATACAGATACATGTGATGCCATGACTGAAACAATCTACAAATAAAGAAGAATATTAACAAAGTAGATGATATTTGCATGTAAATATAAATACATTCAACTGCACCTTTTTCAAATACCGATGCATAACTCCTAATTGGATTATTTTATTGCTGAATATTCTTAAATAAATCTTTTTTTGAGTGGTAACTAGAACCTTTTTATTTATTTTATAATATTAACTCGTGTTAGAACAAGAGAATAATTAATTGAGGCACACTCTACCCATCCATTTTTGTGATTTCTACTATGTCCTACTAAAACTAATAAAGTGCTAATGACATAAAACCTTGATATCTATGATTGCTTTTTCAGAGAATTACCCATGTGTTAAAAAGGCTAGCAGCATTCTCACCACTACATCCCCAGAATATAGAGATTGCTATTTATCCAAACAAATGTGCCTGCCCCAAATCTAGACTATTATATAAGCTTTTATGAGATAAGACTGGAAGAAAATTGGAGCCCTTCTGCTGCTCTGTTGTTTTGAGTGAAGACAGACAATAAGTTAATCAAGAATTTACTTACTGATTCTCTGAGGTAGCCTTGTCCTGCCACGTCATATAAACTGAGACCTATTCTTGTCTGATGAAGCCATACTGTAAAACAGAAAACAGAATTACAACACAAGAAACCTTGGGGGTTTTCAAGGCCTCACCAAAATCTGAAGTTATTCTAAAGGCCACAAGGTACTGCTGGATGTTAAGTGCCTCTCTCTATCTCCCATTTTTCTGAGATTTAAGCAAAGGCTTGATATGTACCAGCACTACTTAGAAACACCATTTTAGTCTCTAAGTTGGTTAAGAGTCACTAGCAATATACGGTATGTTGTGGCCAAGACTGCATTTTTGCATCATTGCATTAAATACGGCTGTACAATGTCATATACAGATTGCTTGTCAGATTGCTACAGCCCCTTGTGCAGCACAAGACGCTGCAGCTACAGCCAAAGGTCCTGCCCTCACTTCTGAGTTACAACAGGAGAGTTAGAATAGCACAAGCATCTATTTTCTGCAGTGAGAAGGCAAATTAATCAGATAATCTACAGGACAATGTGCTTGAGCCCATTGTTAAAGCACAGTAACAGAGATGGAGTACAGATTAGGAATAAAAACTATTATTCACACACTTAATGTTAAATTTAACTTACGTTTCATGAAGAAACAGTTTAAAAGTTCCTCTTAGGAAATATGAACTGTGCTTCATACCAACATTCATCTCCAAGATAAGTGTGTGTCAAGGTGGACTAAGTATCACTCAGAGACAACAGAGCTTATATGGTGAGGCTGTTTCTTTGTTGGCTGAAGTTTAAAGTAAGTGCATTATACACCCTGAAGCTCAGGCAGCTGCAGAGTAACTCCTTTCATCATCTGTTACCTTCCTCTCCTTTCACAGCCACACTGAAGGATATTTAGCAGTAAATACAGAGAGAAATCACTAACAATCTAAAGTACTAACTGAAAGTTCCTACAGGAATTTAAGTCTTTTCTTCCTTTAATACCTGGCCTGGACTTTAGCCCTCACACAGGATGCTGTACAACAGAAAGGATCTCTGCTACTGCAGAGACATGCTACTGAGCTAACTTTATTAGGCAATTCCAATGCTGTAAGCTAGCAAAACCAAGGATCCTTACTCAACTGACCCAAGAGGAACTTTCAAACGCACACTGTGATGGGACCTTATGTTGGCCAGAGTCTGAAAATGAAATGCGATTGAGACGGGACATGCCAAAATGCTTCCTCTCTCTAAATTTGGTGGTGCAGGGCATGTTTTTGTGTCTTTGTTTTAGAAGAAAAGTATCACCATAAATACACAAGACTTAAAACTTCTGGGTGGTATAAATAAAATAAAGAGCTCTGAAAGGATCTCTGTTGTGTCTATCTGAGTAGGTCTTTTTGAAATGCATCCTATTTTCACAGACTTTTTCACAAGTCTCCTATCCTGCAGCTTTTGGGTTTGCTGTTTGTTGCAAATGGGCCTATTACTCCTTCCTTGCATACTCTGCATGCCTCCTCACCAGGTTTTCTGCTATCAACACATCTCTCATCCCTTGCACCACAAGTTTTTATGTTAAACAAGTTGAGTCGATCTGGGGAAAGCTGCCATTCTCCCCACCTGAAGGTTCTACCAGACCTAAGAACACAGCTGCCAGGGGACAAGGCAATGAGGTAAACCTCCTTTCTGCTAGCCAGCCTGATCCTTTTAAACAAGGTCTAATACAGTTTTTTTAAAAACAAAATTGCATTTTTCAGCCCAAGTGGTTATTTATAGTAAAAAATAGCTGAAAATATGGTAAAGGCTATAGTGACAAGCACACTTAGATAACACCACTCTGTAGAAGGAAAAACAGCAAATAAAGCAATGTGCTGGACAGTCTGATCACAATGATTAGGATCACACTCACCACATAACTTTACTGTTGTGCTCTTCATAGTACTGCCTCAGTAAAGGATATCAGAACGGCAAAATACATAACAAACAGATGAAGGATATCTCTGGCTGAGCAGAGAGGTGGATTTCAGAGGCAGGGTGCACTCTCAGCTCCTAGTAACCGGAAAAAATTCCCAAGCCTCCAGGAAAACAGCATTATCGATCAAGGGCTAGATCTCTACTGCTGTCGAACAGCAAGTAATTAATAAAGCTTGAAGTAGCCTTGAAAATAAAACAGCTTGTCATTAACACAGAAGAAGCATCAACTAACCTTTTCGCATGACATAATTGAAAAACTGCATGATAGATATCCTCCCATAAGGATCATTATGGAGCAATTTAGCAAAGATCTTGGCTGTGAAGAACTGCCTGTAAAACAAACACAAAGCTACTTCTAAGCATCTAATTACACTGCACTCACAGATCCAGTTACAGTATCCAGAACTTACACTTTAAAATACTGTTTTAACAATACAAAATGTGTTCTGTGTATTCAAAGACATTAATTTGCTACACTACACCTGTCAGGTGGGATCCTACCAAGTAGCAATGGCAAACTCCAGCTGCCTTTGCTGCTCATGAGACAATCTTCAGTGATGTGGGAGTTTTGAGAGCTTTCATTCACTTTAATTTCTATTTAGCTGAATATATTTGGTAGTATATTTAGTACAATATATTCCAATGTTCTATAAGGATATGCACATAAAACGAATTGCCACTACTGACAACTAATCTGCTTCTGCCCCAAGCTCAACCAAAAAGCTATGTGCACAACAGCAGTCTCCAACACAAGCATAAAGAAGAAATATTCTCCATATGCTGTACACAGAACATCTGGTAGGAAATTTTCCATCAGAACATATTAGGGAAGGTTGGGCAATATCACTGGAGACACAATTTCCTCTTCAAATACAAAATGGGCTGTTTAAGTAGACACGAACATCATAAAAATGCTCATGCTGGTAAGAATTTCTTCTTCAAAGGATGCAGTACCCCTCTTGCAGACATCTCTATCAAAAGTTCCCTCAGTGATGTAGGGCAATACACTTTGCAAGGATGCAAATCAACTAGTTCATCAATAAGTACACAGACATCATTTTTATCTCACCATTAAACTATTTCCATCTATTTTACCAACTGAAAGTTACAGCAGCACTTAGGTTTAGCCAAAGTAAGCGTATACAAGGTAATAAAGCCTTACTTGCATTTAGATCCAGCTTTTTCACCAACTTTCAAGAAGTTCTCATAGTTGATCATTGCTTCTTCCCCAACCATTGGTGATGTCTGGTGTTTGTCCAGTAGAAACCACAGGTTCTTAAAAGGCATTTACATTGGGTTAAGAAGATATCTCTCTGGAGATGTCAATGTGCTTAAGACAGAGCATCTAAGAAATGCAGCTAAAATGTGGTTTTGCTGCAAAGTTATCTCAGTTAATCAGCACATACCACCAGTTCAGGCACAGAAGCAAGCAATGGGTATTTCCACTGCTCTGAACTGGTGTTAAACACACACACAAACTCTCTCTCTCTCTCTCAGTAGGACTTTTAGGGTCACATCCATTTTGTCTATGCACTGCAGTAAACTCAACCATCTTTGGAGTCTCTCTCAGCGATACGTAAACAGAACTTATTTCTTCTTCTGGGCCCACTAGAGAAATTGTTGGAAGTGCTGGAAAACCAGAAGCCACTGATTTAGTCCTCATATATATCATAGAGAGGAAGCTTTACGCTGACATTACCATGCCAAGACTATGCAGCACTTCAGCTTTAGCTAGCACTTCACAACCAGCCAATGTGCCCAGATACAAAGCACCTTACCACAGGATTCTGTGGACAAATAAGAGATAATTAAACTTTGCAGAAAGAAGAAGTCTTGTCAGAAGTCATTACGAGACATACAGAGAAAATATTTTCTTACCTGCAGCTCTTCATTATCCAACAGCTCTCTACTTTTTCTTTGCAGAAAAACTGCTCTAGATTCTTCTCTTAATTTCTGAAGCAAGACTTCATCTTCAGCTGGCAGCTAGAAACATTGTGGTGTTTTAATTTTCTGTACAGTGGTACCATTCAAAAATTACATATCTAGCAGGTGCTCTTAGGTAGTACTGACTCACACACTCTGATGAAGCTGTTTATTTGACAGAAAATAACCTACCTATCAGAATGCTGTAGGGTACCTGCTTTTCTACAGGAATATCACTTGCATGCTGTCTCAAACTATTTTAATATTGAAATATTTATTTAAAGCAGGACATCTTTAACATGAGAAACAGAGATGTACCTTGTACCTGATAACCCATCCAGTAAGCACTTTCTCACAGCTGCGACATTGGAGGGCTCACACATAAAAGACATTTACTACTGTGTTTTTATGCAGGACAGAGCAGCATTTTCCATTTTGTGGTAGGCCTGACTCTCAAAAGCGTGAATGTCTGCTAGACTTATTTTGAGCAACAAAACAGATGGAAGAACACTTGGCATGAGAGTTTTGCTGATGTTTACATACAAAACTGTACAGCACTACCTTAACTTGGATGGTTGTGTATGTATTCATTGAATGAAAAATAAGTACTTAGGAACTTAATGGACCGAAACTCATGATCCTAAGCAATATGGGACCATGTGAAGTTAGACAGCAGCTGAGAGGTCATGTTAACAAGTGCCAGCAATATTCGGTATTTCCCCCGTCCCAATCTGATTAATTTTACACATAAACTGCCAAACCAAGCGTTTCTGCTGGATGATGCAAGCAACAGACCTGTCTTTAGTCCAAGACCAATAACCCACCATTTCATATAGCAGCATCTCATCATGTCTAAACAGGAAGATATGGACTTATAATGCTGGTATGTCAAAAATTAGTTAAATCAGGAAGTTTCTCTGAATGACAAGAGGACTTCCTTTCTTTAGTAAACAGACAAGCCTACTGCCTGATTAGCAAACCATTTCACAGCCTCTGATGAGATGCTTAGTAATTATTTGAAACTGCTGAAATCCACAATTGTACAAAACAAAAAATTATGCTTAGCAATCCATATGATTCTGATTTCAATCTACTTAAGCTTCTGAAATTGAAGTGTCCCTTTGAATAAGCACAACTTTCCTTATAAAACAGAACAGTCTCTTGGTGAAATTTATCTGGATACCTCACCCTGTAATAAAATCGTGGTATGTTTGTATACGATGTATTGCCACTTTTTCTTCCTCCTTTCCATTCCATGTAATATTTTGTGAACAATTCCATTTCTTCATCTTTTAGCTCTTGTTCGCTCTTTTTGGCTGATTAACACAGAGAAAAATTTTGATGTTGTACTCCAAACAGTTTTAATGAAAAAAAGAGATTCAGAAAAAGGAGTTATTGCTGAGGCTTATACAGCTATGCTGTTTAGTAACACAAACATTAGGTGGAAATGAATGGAGCACAAGCTTAGACAACAGATAGATGGAACTTGTCACATATATATTCTACCCGAGTATCTACAAAGCACCTCTTTCAGTAACTGGACACACCTGATTCTCCATAGGGTATGTGACTGTAACAGACACACGGTTACGACTGACAAAGCAGGTACATTTTTGGTTTACAGTGGTAGCACTGTTTAAAATACTACTTACTGCAAGTAGCAACATAAAATCATCTTTCACTCTGGAACATTAGGGATATCATTTTACGTATGGGCAAGTTCTCTGCTGGCTTACTTACGAATAGTTACCAACCAAGCTGTCAGAGGGGTCCGTACTACAGACAAACCAGCCTCTCCACCGCCACTGCCCAGGCGGCCCCTCAGTGCTCCTCAGCCCCGCCCCTGCTGTCACCAACCCCTAAAATAAAGGCGTTTGTTTCTCGGCAGGACGAGCCCGAGACCCGCCTGGCCCCCGCAGCAGCCTGCACACGGGGAACTAAAGCAACAGGGGACACGCCAACGTTCGCCCCACCACCCCGCCAGGCCTCATCCCTGTCACTGCGGGCACCGGCGGCCGCGCTCGCCCACGGAGGCACCTTCCCCGCCCGCCCCCCGCCCGCCGGAAGCGGCTCCAGCGCTCCGCGGCG